AAAAAAAAAAAATCTCCCTTTTAATGATTTTTAAGTGTACACTTTGACACATTTACTTATATTTAATTACAGTCACCATGCTAGGCAAACATCACCACTATCTATTTCCAAAAGCTTTTTTCTCACCCCAAACAGAAAGTCAGTACCATGGATACTTAGAAATAAGCTATTCAATTTAAAACAGCTGTAATTGTTACAAATTTCCATCTTGATAATGAGGACTTAATCTAAGGATTTCTTTAAATAGCAAGCATACGTAGTATGCTTAAAGTCAGTTCACCAAATTAGTTTTTATTTAAATTATAAACACATGTATTATAGAAAACATGCATCGTGTCTTTGAGAACCATATAATTTATAATTTTTGATAGATTGCCTGCATTTTTGTGTATTTTGTCCTTGCTTTTAATTTCTAGATTTATACAGGTAATTCTTTTGTTTTCTTTTCCCTTTGTTCTAGAGTTCATCCGATGCTGCCTACTTGGCAAGGCATGTTGGCTTGAGGGTAGGAATACCAAGAGAGACTCCAGCTCTCACTGTTAATAGGCTCTGCGGCTCTGGTTTCCAGTCCATTGTGAATGGATGTCAGGTATGGCCAACACTGATAGGATTCTCTGGAAATATGGTCATAGTTACTAGAGGACGTGTTCCTTTTCGATATATTGTTGTAACTTCGTATTTTACAGTGCTTATTGGGAGAAGTCTATTTGATTTTTCCAGAAAAAAGACTCAAAGGAGGAAGTTTTTTTCTTTTTCTCATTTCTATTGTGATTTGGGTAAACGTTTACAAAGCAAATTAATTTTCCATACAGTAGTTTTTACACACTTTGTCTCATGACATTGACTGTAATTCCCCATAGTGTAACACCTTTCTTCCCACTTCTTTCTCATAGTTACCTCTTCCCTGTGTCCTTCCCTCCCATGCACTCCCACCCCTCAAGCTGTCTCCCTGTGCAAACACTGCACTTCTCCAAAGAGTGTATCTACCTCATGTAAATGTTCACCCATATGCTTGTCAGTTGTTTGGCTGGAAGCCACAGGATGAATTCAGTTCCAAACCTGAAGGGTAACTAGGGGCCATAGGCTCATGGGACTCACCAGGCTTTATCAGACCAGCAATCCTGGTCTTTTTCTTTTTTATGATTTTGAGTTTTGTTCCACATTGTTCTCCTACTCTATCCAGGATCTTCAAAGAAGGAAAATACTTTTTAAAAAGCTTATCATACCTATCATTTATTGAATGGCTCCTGGGTGCCAGGCACTGCTAGATTGATATACAGTATTTCATTTAATCTTCCTAACCCTTCCTTGAGGCAAGAATGATTATATTACCATGTAGATTTCCCTGTGAAGTAGTTTGCAACAATGAATAAAGCTTCTGGAGAGAGAAAAAGGGTTGGAGAGTTTGGGGGATGATAAGAAAGTATATTTTATTACAAAGGAATTGGGAGAAATATAAACTACTATGACCTTTTAAAGGACAGTTAAGCAAATATGTCTGTGTGTTGCTAAGACAAAGGGGAAAGGGACACACTGAAACCCAGTTGTTTTTTTGGGTGGGGATAAACGTCTTCATATTATTGCAAAATAAAGTAAAAGACACAGCCACATTAGAGTAAATGGAACTATTTTCATATCAGTCAGTTTCTATAATAACATCTTAAGTTGTTGTTGCTGTTGTTGTTAGGTGCCTTTGAGTCAACTCCAACCTTTAGTGACCCTATGTACAATAGAGCAAGCACTGCCTAGTCCTGTGCCAGCCTCACAAGCCTTGTTATCTTTGAGCCCATCATTGTAGCCACTGTGTCAATCCATCTTATTGAGGATCTTCCCCTTTTTCGCTTACCCTCCACTTTACCGAGAACAACATCCTTCTCCAGGGAATGGTCCCTTGTGACAACATGACCAAAGTCGGTGAGACAAAGTCTGGCCACTGTCGCTTCCAAAGAGCCTTCCAGCTGCACTTCTTCCAGGACAGATTTGTTTGTTCTCTGGCAGTCCATGGTATTTTCAATATTCTTTGCCAACACTAAAAATTCAAAGATATCAACTCTTAAGTAAAAACCAAAACTTACTGCTGTCAAGTTGAAGCTGACTCAGAGTGACCCCTCCTTGGGTTTCTGAGGTGGTACCACTACGGAAGTAGATTGCCCAGTCTTCCTTCTGAGGATTGGCTGAAGGGTTTGAACTGCCAGCTTTCTGGTTAGCAGTCAACAACAATTTCAAACATCAGGCTATAGGAGCTTTGTCATTTGCTTCTTTTCTGAGAAGTACAGATGGTGGGAAGAAGAATGGAAGAATGAAATGGCTTCCTTTTTATGATCCCCTGGGGTTGGCCTAGTTCTTGTAAAACTGTGTAAGGTAGGATACATTACTTACTGTAATAGCTGTTTGTTTGCAAGATCTAAATGTTTAAAATGTGGTTTTTGGCACAATACAAAGAGTTGTGTTTTTTTTTAATTGTTTGTGTTTAAATAGGAAATTTGTGTTAAAGATGCTGAAGTTGTCTTGTGTGGAGGAACTGAAAGTATGAGCCAGGCTCCCTACTGTGTCAGAAACGTGCGTTTTGGAACCAAGTTTGGAACAGATCTCAAGGTTAGGTTCATTACATTAAAATATAGATATATATTTCTCATGCTAATGTATTAATAATTTTAATAACTTTAAGGGAGCAAGAGCAAATTTTGAAACTTATTTTATTGATAGGGATTTCTAAGATATAAATGATTTGAGAGACTGTTATCTCAGCACACCTCTGCTAGTGGAGTTAACGTGTGGAAATTGTCATAGGTATTGGTGATACAGAGAAAGGGAAAAAGTGGGTGAAAAAGATAGCACCTCCCAACAAAGAGTCTAGGACAAGGTGGCTCCACTAGTGAATTATATCAAACATTTAAAGAATAATTAATGCCAATCCTTCACAAAGTCTTCCAAAAAATACAAGAGAAGACACACTTCCTAACTCATTCTGTGATGCCAGCATTATCCTGATACCAAAGCCAGACACAGATACCACAAGGAAAGAAAACTGCAGACCGATACGTCTTACAAATACAGCAAACCAAACCCAAGAGCATATTAAAAGAATGACGTACATGATTTATCCCAGGAATGTATGAGTGGTTCAACATAAGAAATCAGCATAGTACACCACATAGCACAAGGAGAAGAACCACGTAATCATCACAATTGATACATAAAAGGCATTTGACAAAATTCAACACCTTTTCATTATAAAACACTCAGCAAACTAGGAATAGAAGGAAAATTCTTCAGCACAAAATAAAGGCTGCTTGTGAACATCCCACAGTGAACATCACACTCAGTGATAGCAAACTGAAAGCTTGCTACTGAGATAAGAAACAAGACAAGGATACCTGCTTTCACCACAGCAATTAAACATTGTGCTGGAAGCTCTAACTAGAGCAATTTAAGAAAAAGAAATAAAGGGCATCCAAATCAGAAAGGCAGATGTAAAACTTTCTCAATTTGCAGACAGTACGAGCCTATATATAGAAATTCAAAAGAATCCACACGAAAGCCACTAGAGATAATAAATGAATTCAGCAAAGTTTCAGGCTACTACGTTAACACACACACACACACACACACACACACAAAATCAGTTGGGTTTCATTACACCAGCAGTAAACAATTTGAAAAGGAAATTAAGAAAACTATTCCACTTATGGAGCTCTGGTGGTGCAGTGGCTAAGGCATTTGGCTGTTAACCAGAAGGTTAGCAGTTTAAACCCACCAGTTGCTTTGCAGAAGGAAGATAAGGCAGTCTACTTCCATAAAGATTTACAGCTTTGAAAACCCAGAGGGGTCACTATGAATCAGAATTGACTTCATGGCAGTGGGTTTTTTAATTCCATTTATAGTAGCGTCTCAGAAAATAAATTAGGAATACATTTAACCAGGGAGATAAAAGACTCGTATACTGAAAACTGTAAAATACTGCTGAAAAATTAGAGAAGACCTAATAGAAAAATATCCTGCATTCATGCATTGGAAGACTAAATATTATTAAGATGTTAATACTGCCCAAAGTGATCTACAGTTTCAACACAGTCCCTATCAAAACTCCAACATCCTTTTTTCACAGCAATGTAAAGCTGATCCTCAAATTCATATGGAATTGCAAGGGACACCAAAGAGCCAAAACTATCTTTAAAAAGAAGAACAAATTAGAAGTTCTTCCTGATTTCAGTATATACTATAAAGCTACAGTAGTCAAAACAGTATGGTGCTCACATGAGCACAGACAGTTATACCAATGAAAGAGAATTGAGAGTCCAGAAATAAAACTTGTACAGCTATGGCCTATTGATTTTCAGTAAGGGTCCCCTTTCATTCACTGGGGAATAAATAGTCTCTTCAACAAATGGTGCTATGACAACTGGATTTCCGCATGCAAAAGAATGATACCAGACCAATATTTCATACCATATATGAAAATTAACCACCCAAAATGGATCAATGACCTAAAATATAAGAACTAAAATAAAAAAAACTTGTAGAAGAAACCATAGGAGCAAAGCCTCATGACCTTGTTTTTGACAGTGGAGTCTAAGGTACAACATCAAAAGCACAAGCAACAAAAGCAAAAATAAACGAATAGGACTTCATCAAAATTAAAAGCTTTTGCAAGTAGCCATCTAGATGGAACAATGTGTTTCTCCTCATCAAGAGCAAAGAAGAATGAAGAAAACCAAAGACACATGGAAACAAGTTGTCCAAGGGACTGATAGACCATGCAGTCCTTAGCCTTTGTGAACATGAGACTAGAAGAACTAGATGGTGTCCGGCTACTACTCAACCACTTGGAGGGGGATCTGTATAGGAGATCCTGGATAGAGTGGGAGTCAGTGTGAAACAAAACTCAAAATCAGAAAAAAAAAAGATTAGGTTTGCTGGTCTGATAGAGCCTGGTAAAACCTCTGAGACTATGGCCCCTAGCTGCCTTTCGAGTCTAGAATTGAACTCACTCCTGTGGCTTCCAGCCAAATAACAGACAGGCATGTGCACTGAACATTTGGATCAGGTAGATACACTCCTTGAAGAGATCAATCATGGGAGAATAGAAGGGTTGTGTATGCACAGGGAAACAGCTCAGGGGGCAGGAGTGCAGGGGAGGGAAGGACATAGGGAAGAGGTAACTGGGGAGGAAGTGGGAAGAGAGCTGTTACACTGGGAAATTGCAGTCAATGTTACGAGACAAAATGTGTGTGAACTGTTGTATGGAAAATGCATTTGCTCTGTAAACTTTAACCCAAATCACAATAAAAATTTTAAAAAAATAAAAAATAAAAACTTTTGTCCATTAAAGAACTTTATCAACAAGTGAAAAAGAAAAAACCCTACAGAATAGAAGAAAATGCTTAAGACCCATGTATCTGATAATTGATATCCAGAATATATAAAAAACTTCTACAACTCAGCAGCAAGAAAACAATCTGATTTAAAAAAATGGGTAAAGGACTTGAATAGACAGTTCTCTAAATAAGATACACAGATGACCAAAAAGCACGTGAAAAGATGCTCCAAGTCATTAATCGTTAGAGAAATGCAAATCTTAAACCATAATGATGCCGTATTATAGCCAATAAAACCAAAGCCAAACCCACTGCCATCGAATCATTTCCGACTCATAATGACTCCCATTGGGTTTCCAAGGCAGTAAATCTTTATGGAAGTAGATTGCCTTGTCTTCCTTCCATGGAGTGGCTGGTGGGTTTGAACCGTCAACCTTCTGGTTAGCAGTCAAATGCCTTAGGCAGTGCGCCACCAGAGTTCCTTTATACCCACTAGGATGAGTAATACTTTTTTTTTTTAAAAAAAGGAAAATAACAAGTATTGGTGAGAATGTGAAAAAATTGGAACCTTTTTACATTGCTGGTAAAAATGTAAAATGGTGCAGCTGCTGTGGAAAACAGTTTGTCAGTTTCTCAAAAAAGTAAACATAGATTTACCATATGGCCTAGCAATTCCATTCCTGTGTATATACCCCAAAGACTAAAAAGCATGGATTCAAACGGGTACTTGTAAACTGCTGTTCATTGCAGCATTACTCACAATAGCCGAAAGGTGGAAACAACCCAAATGTCAATCAACAGATGACTAGATAAACAGAATGTGGTCTATGCGTACAATGGAATATTACTCAGCATTAAAGAGAAGTGAAGTCCTGATACATGCTATGTGACTACGTGATTCTTGAAAACCCTATGTTGAGTGAGATACTGTGTGATACACCGCCTTAGTTTCCTAGTGCTGCTGTAGCATACACCACAAGTGGGTGGCAATAAATAACAAATTTATTTTCCCACAAGTTAGGTGGTTAGAAGTCAAAATTCAGGGCACAGGCTGTAAGGGAAGACTCTGTCTCTTGTCTCTGGGATCCTTGTCTCCACTTCCGTTGCTCCCACCTTCTTCAGATCCTGGATGATCTTGTGGCATCTACCCACCCTGACTCCCATTGTGCTTCCTTATCTCAGCTTATATGTTACTCAAAAATGGTTAGGTTGAAGACATACCTGTGCTGATATGGTTGCAGCATAACAAAGAAGACCTTATTTGCAAATAAGATTACGGGTATAGGGGTCAGGACTCCAACACATTTTGGGGGGATATAATTTATTCCATAGGACCTACTTATATAAAATATCTAGAATAAGAAAAGCCAAAAAGACAAAAGTTTATTAGTGCTTACCAGCGGGTGGGGCTAGGGTGGGGGTGTTGGATGGGGAGTTTTTCTTGAAGTGATAAAAAACTTGGAAATGGATAGTGGTTATGTACACACAACATGGTGAATGCAATTAATGTCACTGATTTTTATGTGTAAAAATAGTTAAAATGGCATATTTTTTGTTATATATTTTACCACAAGAAAATTAAGAATTAAGGAAATATGGCGAACGTCTATGTCAGTTGGCACAACTAGCTCATAAAGACAATGTTCTGCATCCTACTTTGGTGAATAGCGTCCGGGGTTTAAAAGCGGCCAACTAAGATGCATCTATTGGTCTCTTCCCATCTGGAACAGAGGAGAGTGAAGAAAGCCAAAGACTCGAGGGAGTCACGTGGACCACATGAACCACAGCCTACATGACCCCGAGACCTGAACTAGATGATACCCAGCTACCACTTCCGACTACTCTTACTGGGATAGTGACAGAGGGTCCCTGGACTGAGAGGGAGAGAAATGCAGAACAAAAAAATCATTCACAAACAAGACCAGACTTACTGGTCGTCTGACAGAGAGTAGAGAAACTATGAGACTATGGCCCTAAGTCACCCTTCTGACCTGGAACTGAAGCCATTCCCAGAGACTACATTTCAGCCAAACAATAAGCCCATGAAATAAACAATAACATGCAAGAGGAATGTGCTACCTAGACGAGAGTGAAAGGACAGCATTTGCCCAAAAGCAAAGATGGGAAGGCAGGAAGGGGCAGAAAATCTGGACAAAAGGAAACGGAACCCAGAGCAGAAATGGGGAACGTGCTGACACGTTGTGGGGAATGCAGCCAGTGTCCTGAAACATTTTTGTACAAACTATTAAATGGGAAATGTATTTGAAACTTTCACCTAAAGCACAATAAAAAAAATGATAGGAAAAGGCAGAATTAATCTGTCTACTAAGTAACTGATAAGTAGTAAGTCTTTATCATGGCTTATGAAAGTTATATTTCTGGAGCATCTCCACTGAGTACATTTCTTCTTCACCACACAAGACATCTTTGAATACAGATTATTTTATCCCAAATCAGTGGGACAAAAACTGATCCTCCACCTCTGAGCTGTAAATGAGATGGATGGTCCTAATGATAACGATGTGCTGTCCTTCACATGCAAAAGAGCTAATGACATCTCACATGCTTAGCATTCCTAGTAGTAATGATTGATTTACACTGTTTAGCCACAGTTCCTCACCTAGTCTTTCTGAAAGTAGAAAGGAATGAGACTTAGAGAGTATGAGATAGTAGTATTTCAGACAACAAAGATACTTGAGAAAACCTTTGGAAAGACAGTCAGTGAATCCAAAGGTGATGGGGTCTGGAAGAAGGAAATGGGGCACACTTCTCAGATAGTCTAATTGTATGGAATCTGAGCTTTTCCCAGATTCCTCTCAACCTCACAGTAACCAGTGAGCCAGGGCGTTGTGTTACAGAAGGCATGTGGTGAAGAGGGAGCACAGATACCGCTTTCCTGAAGAGCTCATAACTGCTTTACAAAGATGGCTACAGGAAAGCATTGCAGGAGAACTTGGTAGAGGGTTTCTAATAAAACGGAATCTTGAAAGGAGTTAATTTTTCATTGTGGTGTAACTTTCTGCATCAATTCCTTAATACACCAAGTGTATAACACCAAGTATATAAACAAGACTTTCTACTTGCTTATAACATACAGTTTAATTTTTAAAATATTTTTCAGAATACACCCATTTATTATTGCTGGCTCTCCTTAAAGCCCCACACTTGAATAGGGAGGAGAATGTATGTATTTTATCGTGGCATTAGATGTTTTCAAAAAAAAAAAAAAAAAAATCATGGAACCAAATATGAATAGTAGTCATCGTAAATGTTTATCAGAAAGTCTAATTTTGGTATTGGAACTGTTGATTATTTAAATGTTAAGAAATTACAGCATATTACTTTCAAAAGATACCCTTTAACAAATCACTTTACTGATGTCTTTTAATAGCTGGAAGATTCTTTGTGGGCAGGATTAACAGATCAGCATGTCCAGCTCCCCATGGGAATTACTGCAGAGAATCTTGCTGTGAAATACAAAATAAGCAGAGAAGACTGTGACAGATACGCCCTACAGTCACAACAGAGGTGGAAAGCTGGTTAGTGAAATTGGATAATACAAATATAAGGATGGGAGGACCTACAGGAAAGATGGCCATCATTTCAGACTATAACAGTGAAGGCTGGTGGTTCAAATTCACCAGCCACTCCTCGGAAAGAAGATTGGGCAATCTCCTTGATACCGCATCAGCAGCCCAAGGGGAGGGGTCGCTGTGAGTTGGATCCAACTTGACGGCAGTGAGTTTGATTTGGTTTTTGAATGTTAGTTAAAAATCATACCTTTTGACAGTTACATTTTTCATCATTCCTTTTTTTTAATCTGATCAGATATATTCTATTAATTATTGCAGAATTAACTGGGGATTTTTCTTTTAAAACAAATTAATACTATTTAAAAAGTGGTATTATTAATTGGCCCCATCTGGACACTTGAATTTTGTCCTCAACTGGTCCTATTCTCAGTAGAATGTGCTGTGAGGTAATGACACGCTCCATCAGAGATGATGGCTTACACTGTAGCAACTGGGATGGGTGGAATCCAGCCCATGAAGCATAGCATGGTCACAGGATGGGATGATGCATTTGGAAGAGACCCATTGGGTATCCTTTTATGCCTCCATCCTCCCATTCAACTGAGAATCATTGCACCTGACCCAGGGACTTGGAAATAGTCCCAGTTACAGTGCCCGATGTGATAGAATATTCTGCTGGTAAACCAGTCCCAAATGAGCAACATGGTAGCAGTTCTTTTATCAATAGGGTTAAGTTGAAGAAATATGTTAGTCTTCTGAAAAATAGTTTTAAAATTAAACTGTACATTAGAAACAAATGGAAACTCTCACATAGGGTGTTCCATGAGTGGAATAGTAAGGGTTACTTCCGTCTGGTACTGCACAGGGCTGAGTGGACAGGAAGTACTGCCATCCAGCTCATCCCCTGAGTTTTCAGTTACATGTTTAGAGTGAAGGAGCATAGATCTAAAGGGTGAGTTGTAAGTTCTGTTTTCAGTTCTGCCACTTATAAGTTATCTGATCTCAACTAAGTCATTTGTCCACTGAGGATCTCTAAAGTAGGGATAACAGTATTTGTCTTCTTGTAGCAATCAGCTGCTACCTAAAAAGTTGGCCAGTGTGAACCAAGCCAATGGCTCCATAGGAGAAAGATTTGTCACTCAAAGATTATAGCCTACAAAATCCTGTGAGGCAGTCCTACTCTGTCATGTGAAGTGGGGTCGCTATGAGTTGAAATCAACTCCACAGCACCCAACAGCAACAGCAGACTTACATAACAGAGTTGTTGAAAATCCAGTGAGGGCAGGCAAACTGTAAAGTGATACCAGGTCATTATTCCAGAGTAACCCTGTTTCTAGCATAGTGCCTAAGGCACTTGACTGCTAACCAGAAGGCTGGTGGTTCAAACCCACCAGCCACTCCTTGGAAGGAAGGTTGGACAATCTACTTCCATAGTAATACTGCCTCAGAAACCCAAGGAGGGGTCGCTATGAGTTGGGTCTGACTCGATGGCACATAACAACAACAACAACCCTATTTCTGAAGCTATATATACCCTGATTATGGTAGTCTATTCCAGTCAGTAGAGATGGAAGTAGATATTTTACATATAGCTGTATTAGTGATAGTTCATATCATTTCTTTAGCTTGCCTATCATTGTTAAATTTGAGTCATAGATTACTTGGTGACATAGACATCTTTGTAACTTTTTATTTTGTTTATATCTTGCCTGGAAAAGTTAAAAAGGGCATTAAATCATTCTCCACAAATAGCTGCCACCTTTGCCATGAGACCAGAAGAACTGGATGGTGCCTGGCTCTCATTACTAAACATGTTGATCAAAGATTCTATAAAAGGAATCCTAATCAAAAGCGGGAAAGTGTAGAATAGAATTTCAGATTCTCATGGACTCCAGATTTTCAGGGGTTCATTCTTTCCCATGGAACCTGGAGTCCATGGGAAAGAATGAACCCCTGAAACTATTGCCCTGAAATAATCTTTAAAGCTTCAACCAAAAATATCCCCTGAAGTCGTCTTAAAACCAAGAAATAGAATATGTTAACTAGTAAAATGCCTTGGGCATTATGGTCTTTTAAGAAGTATATGGGATCAGAGTAACAACAGCAGCTCCAAAGATTGGATAAAGCTTAGGGGTCAGTGAGGGAGCTCTGGTGGTCTAGGGCCTAAGGCACTTAACTGCTAACCAGAAGGCTGGAGGTTCAAACCCATCAGCCACTCCTCAGAAGGAAGGTTGGCCAATTGAGAAAAGAAAGGTGAGAATGGTTGCACAACTTGAAGAATGTAATCATTGTCACTGAATTGTACATGTAGAAACTATTGAATTGGTGTATGTTTTCATGATGAATTT